GAAACGTTCCCTATGACAGGGAGCAGTGCAATTTTATTACCAGCAATAGCGAATCAGGCAGTAGAACTGAAAAAGGCTGTGTTAGCCCTCAAGGCACTGCACAAGGAAAGGTATCCCTACATCAGGCTGTTTCCTCTAGAAGGAGTGGATCGACTTCATTATCGCAATTATCCCGATCTTTATTTTGCTGCTCTAAGTCTTGCAATAAAGAACTACAAAAGTCTGACAGAAGAAAACATATATCTAATGTCTGTAATACCAACCACTATCCCCATAGCAATGATCATGGAACGAGTCATTCAACGTATAGAGATACAGCCATATCTAGAGGAAATTCAGAAGGACTTGAAGTACCTGGGGCTGGATCCAACTTACCTACGCGTTCCCACCCGACAACGAAGAGAAATGGAGGATGAGGATGAGGGAAGAGAAGTGAAGGATGAGGATGAGAGAAGAAAAGTGAAGAATGAGGATGAGGAAAGAGAAGTGGAGGATAAGGTCACGCCACCATTTTTTCCCTAACTGTGCCCAGATGGGGATAAAACAACAGCCTGCAAGAGCACAATGCACTTCTGTTAAAACAAAGAATCTTTAAAACGAAAGATTTATCTGACGAGATGTTTGCAAATAGAAAGAATAATCTAATAATTAAGGCTACTATATACTATGTTTATTTTAAATCTACAATTAAGAAATTTTTTTTAAATATAAATAATATACAGGCTGATTTTCATATTGATTCCAATTAATGCTGATTTATTCAAATAGTTTTAAATAAATAATTTCCATGTAATATTTATCATCTCCTACTTTAATAATTAATTTCTTTCTGAATGTTATAAACTTTTGTTCAAAGTTATAAACAATAAAAGTAATAAAACAAAAATTTTATTCGTTCTACGTACATTAACAAAATAAGGATTATACTTGTCAATTGAATTAATCGAAGTTTGGAAAAATAAAGAATGCCGGAATCGTGGATTCTCAAGGATTCAATAAATAATTCTTAATAATTATAAGAAATTAATTATTAAGAATTAATTTTACAACTGATTAATTGTTAAAAATTAATTTAAAAAATTAATTCTTAATAAGTGATAATTGGTTAATTCTTTTGTCCATTTGATGCGCTGCAAAATATGTATTTTAAATTTTTATTAGTCAGAGACCAATCCAGCTCGTTGAGACGATACATGCGCGAGCTAGCGCAACTCGTAGTGAGCTTTTTGAGCTTCGTATAAAGCATTGGTGGACTACGCTACTGTGGCTGCGTTCCTCTTGGACGCTCACGCGCTGTAAGCGCTTATAAGCTTCGCTTATACGGTATACCGTTCCCTTTGGCGTTATAAGCGCTCATGATAAAAAAATATCCAATCTTCATTAAAACATATTATATCTAATCCAACATTTGCTAACATAATTAATATATAAAACATAATCATATCACTTTTAATTGCCATCTTGATACGCTCACAGTCACTCACAAATGCCAAAGGGAACGGCTTTGCTGACAATCGTATGAGCGCTTAAATTTCAAAAGGAACGGCAGAAAATAGTGCTTATAAACGTGAGCGCTTACAGCGCATGGGCGTCTAAAAGGAACGCACCCTCTGATACACGCTATCAACGATTATCTTTTTTTTATTATAAGATAAGAAAAGCTGTGCAGTGCGCAACGATAACGGACAATCATCGCGGTAGCGTGTAGTACATACACTGTGTCACTGTGTACAGAATACGGGTCCAACGTCGAAACTTATAAGAAGAGTTGGAAGGAAGTTTGGTTGGAATTGAATTTATTGGCTCGAGTGAAAAATCGATCTTTTTGGAACCGAATCTGATAGCAACTGTATATATACGATCAAAATAATACAAACATTACTGCGCGCAATTAGGTAATAATAGCTACATAATCCGCATTAAAAATGATTTACACAAACAAGTGAGAAAATCAGTGTAATAAAAAATGTTTCATATTAGTACGATTAAATATATTACACAAATATTTAGGATTAATAGATATCTTGCTAAAAAAATAAATTTTGTTTTAGAATCAAATACTTTTAATTCTTATTAAAAGGTAAGAATTAAATTATTCCGGTTTATGATTATCCGGATCAACAAGTACAAGAGAAAACGAAGATCATAATCAAAGAAAGAGAGATGTTCACAATCAAGCGATCTCGTCCAACCCAATATCGTCCAATAATTGGTATAGAGGCCGTATATAGGGATATAGAGGGGTCAAGAGTAATTCAAGTTAAACGTGATCCAATTAAAACAGAAGAGGAGGGTGATGCAAGATACATAAGGCCTGAGAATGGCTGTCTAATGGAACTTGAATTAAGATCTAATGAATCTACTATCACAGTGACAGGGGTCCCACTGAGGCCACTGAGAGATATAGATATTGTGATAACATCAATCTGCTGGACCCTAAAATGGAAACCTGAGGATGTGCCTTTCTACAATCATATGTTAACAGAGGAACAATTCTGTACACCAAATGTACACTCATCCAAATGTACACTCAATCTAATGGCTTCGGATCAAATGCTCATGTTCATAGGAATGGCAGG